TTGATTTTCAATATCCTGTTTTTGTTTGAGTTATATCCAATATTTTTTTTTGTTTTTTTTTAATACAATAATGAAAGGGGAAATACCATTGTTGAATATCCAAGGTTGATTATGTAATAGCGCAAATTGGTTCCACGAGAATACACTTCAGATTCTGCAATTGTTACTTTAAAACATTTATTTATTTTTTTTTTTTTGTTTAAAATTTCCTCATTGTCTATTTTGCTTTTCTATCTCTTTTTCTGGCATTAGGAGGAATGTACAATGGTGTATTGTTTTCAAAGCAGGATTTGTAAAACATTTTAATAGAAAGAAAACTAGGAACTAAAAAAAATATTATAAATGTAATAATTTAACATTTATTTTTAGTTAATTTATTATTTATTCTGTGACATATCGTTAAACTAACTTGTTATATATAATTATATAACATTCAACCCCAAGTTTAAAAGCGCTTCAAAAATCACCTAGAATAAAAAATACTTAATCATTTTAGAATATAAGTAGGTATATAGCTTCTGGACATTTTGAAAAATAAATGATAAATTCTATTTCTTTTTTTATAAATTATAATCTATTTTATTATTTACATCTTACATTCTACTATTATATATTAAATGATTTTTTTTTTTTTCAAAACAACCTTACTTTTTTTCAAGAGTAAGGTGAGATAACCTCAAAACAAATTTAATATTATCTTATGTTAATATATTATTATTGAGAAGTAATTAAGGAAATATAATGAATGTAATTTTTTTGTCCGAAACTATTTTATTTTATTATTTTAATCTGTTTTATTTATTTTATTTTGTATTTATAAGGATGGTTTTCCCAAGGAGATTAATAGCATTGTATCAAGTAATTTGAGTTAATCAACTACAGATATCATGAGAGGAAAAAAATCATTTTTTTTTTTCACTTTTAATATTTAATCCAGTGAATAAACTACCAAAAGATAATAAAATTAGAAATAACAATAAATTTCTAACTCAAAATATAAGAAAATATTTTTAGAATATTCACTTCTAAGCAAAAAACTACATATTGCCTCGGACGTAGGTACTAAGATATATTTAGGATGTAGGTAGTAAGATATATTGAAGGTCAACCTCACAGACATTTCAAGTGCTAATTTTATGGTTTCCAATAAAAGAAAAAAAACATAACGATTTGACCGCATTATGTAATCCCTGATTTATTGATTATCTATATATTTTTTAAATACTTCCATCTTAACATATTTTTATTGATAATGTCCCTGGTGTCCTATTTTGGAAATATGTCAAAATTCAAGTCATAATAAATTCGGAGAAAGATAAACTTCAAAGTGAACTGAAATATTTTAGGGTCTAAAACTCAAAACATTCCCAAGATGGTAGGGCCCCGGGCAAGTTGGATGGAGGCTGTTGAGGATCAAACAACCGATGATGTCAAGGATTCCGTGTCAAGGACTGTATGCTTAATAACACTTTGGTCTGCCACTGTCATCATGGAACCCCATTCATATAAATAATGTCATTGATAGCAATTCCTACAAGGTCGGTTGAGCGGTAAGGTGATATTACATTATGATGTGTGGCATGATATTCTGATGCGTGGCAGCAATCACTTTTGGAATAAAATGGCGAATCATTTTTGGAATAAAATGGCGAATCATTTTTTAATTCTAAGATTAATAGTTTCTAAATAATATTCGGAATGCATATATTTGAGAAAAATGATAATAAGATGAATGGATTAATAATGATCAGAGATTGAAACAGATTTATTTTTTTTTTTTTTTTTTTTTTTTTTTTTTTTTTTTTTTTTTTTTTTTTTTTTTTTTTTTTTTTTTTTTTTTTTTTTTTTTACAAATGAGTTCAATTTTTAGACCGGCCGCAAATTGAGCCCAGGCCAGGCGCAGCACAGGAGCAGCAGAGATATAACAGAGGGGAGACATAGCACCTAGTTCAGAGCCTTCTTCACAAATTTAATCTAGCTAAATTTGCATTTAGTTCCGAATGACTTGGACGCTGAGTTACTGTTACTTCACTTCGATTCTGAATCCGACTAAGAAAACAATATACAATGCTTGCCGTCACTATTATATAAAAAAAACAAAAGAGGAGAAACTTCAGAATTATTTGACAAAAAGAAACTCAAGTGGCTGCAAATTGAGAGTAGGGGAGGCGTAGGAGAGGGACAACAGAGGTGTGACAGAGGATTCAGTTCTGAGCTGCCCCAGTGAAGGCAGGGCTGTGATAGGGGCTTTCTTGTCCCTCTAACTGCTTGAAAAACAAAAAGAAATTTTGTGAATTTTTGAAATAAAGGTCACTTAGTATATTATCGAAGACATAGTTTTTGAATAATATGACAATCCGGTTGTATATCCATTTATTTTTACTTTTCAGATTTTTTCGGTACAATATTTCATTAAGTCATATTCAATTTTTATCAAGTCAAATTTTATTAACAAAAGGTTAAAAGTAAAAGTTTTTCCAAAACTGTAAAATAAAAGTTCTAACTTAAAAATTGTTTTACTTTTTTTTACACAAATAAATATCATAAAAAAGTATTTGTTAAACTTTTATTTATTCCCTCTAAAATAAAAGTTACAGATAAAAAAAATTACAAATTATAATAAAAGTTCATAATTATTAAACTCCTCAGTACTAATAAATTCTGATGATCGTGGAAAATATTTCAAAGCTAACTTAAAGAAAATTATACAATGCAAAGTTTTATTTTTTAATCAGAATTGTTTAATTAAAAAAGTAAAAGCTTTAATGTTATTATAATTTTTTCATTAAAACCTATTCAAGTAAATGGTTTATATCAACTATATATATACTGTTATAACATTTCAACCATTTCCAAATCAAATTCAAACTTTCCCAAGTCAAATTGAACATTTGCCATTTCAAATTCAACTTTCGAATTTTCGTAAATTTTGAAATACAGGACACTTACTATATTATCGAAGGTATAGTTTTTGTGAAATAAAAAGAAAAAAATATGATAACCCGGTTGCATATCCATTTATTTTTACTTTTCAGATGTTTTTGTTAAAATATTTCCATGTCATATTCAATTTTTTCCGAGTCAAATTCAACCTTTTCCAGGTTTCAACCTATTCGGATTTATTCGATATAAGGGTCTAGTATTATGTTATCGTGTGCCTAGTTTTTGAAAATAATCTCAATTTTAAAATTACGCCACTGCGTTTCGACTTCAGTTTATTTTCTGGACGTTTTTTAGATTTATTCGATATAAGGTTCTATTAATATGTTACCCGAGCCGTAGATTTCGAAAATGACCTGCATTTTTAGCCGCGTCACCGGTATTAGAGTTCAGTGGAGACTAAGAGAGGGCACTAAAGCCACAGACGCTCATGAATTATAAGAGTTAACTGTTTTATTCGACCATGACGCAGAATGTTAAAATTAGTGAGAAGACTAAATATCATTTGTCTTATTCAAAGTTACGAAAATAATAAAAATGGAGCTGTTAAAATTAACGTTATAACATATGTATAAATCCTTGAAGAGTACGAACGAAGAAAACTATGCAAAAGTATGTAATATCTTGCTTATCCTTGTGAAATCCTCTAGTCAAATATATTTTACTATTGGCTATTATCTTTATACCACGATACAGAACCTCAAAAGGATTATGATTTTAAGTTGCTACATGATGGGAATAATGTGAAGATGTGATAGTGATAGTGTAACCGAGTGCATCTATTCCTGACTAGACCTTCCCGTCCTATAGATACGGCCTATATAAATACCGAGGCCACATAGCGCCTGGCCTATGCTTGTCACCGTCGACTGCGAACGTGACTCTGTAACTTGTCACAGTTACAGAGCTCCTGATTAAGATTTCGGGTAAAGAATATTATCATAGTATTGTATATTGTATACCATGGGGGAGGGGAGTAAAAGTACTTTCTTTTGTATTCAGAAAGATTCTTCATCAATTTTTCTAATGTTTTATATAAAGTTTATACCAAGGGTATCCAGAAAGTGATGGGACAAGCTGCGCCATGAATATTTTTGAAAGTGCATATTTCTATTGTATTTTTGAATTGAAGTACCTTTCATATGAGAGAACAAGGAGAAAAATATGAATAGAAAATAGCATATGAACTTCAACTATATTAATTCTAATATCGCTTGTACGGTTTTTAAAATAGAAGTAAATAAAATATTTATGGATGGGTCGTTTGCATACATTTCAATCTTTACTAAATTCTGTCCAAGAACTACTTCGATTAGAGGATTGTTAACAGAGATATTAAAATATTTGTATACCCTACTCCGCGATTACAAGCATGAGTGCATACTTTTTCCTTAGAGACTTTAGAAACTTTCACCATATTCTGGCTATTTTTTTGTTTATCACACAGCCGGTTTGTGTATGCATTACAGTTTATTTTATGAATTAAAATATCAAATGATTTTTTTCTCCCTCGCCTTTTAGGCTATACGGAGTTTTCACGGTCAAAGTGAGAGGGCGGGAAATTAATGACAGAGTTAAAAATCCTCCTCTCGCTCCTCTGGCACCGGGACACGAATTCATAATTATTCCATCTAATAAACTTTGTGTGCCTGGTAATGGGTGTTTTGCACACGCATTATTCCGTTTGGCTATCCCTCCCTATAACTTCTTGACTTCTTTACTGATTAAATTATAAAAAAACGGTTGCACAATGTCTTGCCTCAACAAAGCTACAGTAAGACTAACGAAGAAAATACCGCTTTAGTTCTTGACGCTTAGCAAAATGCTTCATCAACTCGCGTAATTTCAGATCTTTGTCTAGATCTTTTACCATTCCGGAGGAATATAGAGTTTTATTTCACCAACTATCCAGATTATGTTCCGTTGCAGACATCTACGATTATTCTCGGTCAGAATATTTAAGATACCATAGTAAGTTTTATTTTAAGCTCTTAAATTTAAGAAACATACGTCGTATGCGAAATGGACTACGTTTTTTCCCGTATAAGGAAAGTCAGTGGATGTCACCAAGTAGATCGAATGGGATTTCGTGCAAACAGATCGAAATCCTCGTTTCTACTTTCTCTCCTGCGGGGGGTTGGACGTTCCTCGGTCAGTGAAACTGGTCCGAACGAAGGCCAAGGAGTCGTGTTTAGTATGAGCCCGGTATCGTATCCCGTCTTTTCTTAAAGAGGAAGAAAGCAATGCAGTACACAAACCTAGCGAGTGTAATTCTAAGTAATGTACTGTCTAGTGAAAAAATGTATTCGCATTGACATGACTTTTACAATCCGAGGAGGAAAAAAAAAAAAATGAATACGAAACCTTATAGAAGAACTAACCTTTAATAAGAATAGTTGGTATTTTTATGTGTTTTTTTAAATTTGATATTATAAACAAAGTAGGAATACAGACCGTAACCAGTGAAAAAGATTGCCCGGCTTCAGCCGTGATCTCTCCAAGAGCTTCATTCAAGTGGTGCGAATAATATACAATGGACACCCAATTATTTATGAATTTTAGCTAGTTAGTGCAGGAATTGCAGCAGGGAACGTTGCAGCTGGTGTTCAAGCAAAGAATGATTCTCCATTGCCCCATCTAGACCCACCTATTACTTACACATATGCGCTATGTTTGAAAGGTTAGTGTTATAAAGAGTAGCACAAAAAAAAAAAAACAACTAAGATTGCGGAGAAATATACGAATCTCTCATAGATATTGAAGTCTGCAACTCTGGAACTCAGGAACTCTGCAACAATGGTGAAGTGGGTGCTGACCACATGGACGGGTGCCTTTCCTTCGCAGATATAAGGAGGCGAAGTACCATTGACAATAGTTGTAGGAGACTACTAAACTTTACCGGGCTTTCATATCTTATGGCTAATAAACCTCCATAACGGAATAAAAAAAAAATAATAAAAAAAAATAAATAAATAAAAATAAAAATAAAACATGTTTTGCTTGCATCATTTCATGCAGAAATAACAGTGCAAAGGCAATTATAATTTATATTTTTATTATTACTATTACTTTTTAATAAGAAATTCTATTTTCAAGGGAGATTTCAATTTAATATGTCTCAACTGTACCGTAAAATAAATTTTGATACGTAATAAAAAAAAATAGATTAAATCTTTCAATTCAATTGATCAATTCACTGATTGACAATACTAATTATGGAGAGGTTTAAATAATACATTGAAATTTCATAAAATATATTCAAATTGGAAAAAAAAGGTAGGTAAAATCCAACAAATAAAGGCAATGACATTGTTACTTATTTCGCTGAACTTGTATGAAATAAGAACTGAAAAATAAAAATATTTGAGATTTGGATTTGGAGAATATATGTATAACCTTAAATTCATTAACTGTAGATTAATAACTCTAGATTAGCTATTACACTTAAGTAATTAGGTATCCAACTTTGAGAAACTTAAATTAGTAAATGTGGGTAGTTTTTATTACTTTAGTTTGGTTTAGTTTATATACATTCACTTTTAGTATTATTGTTTTTTTCTGTATTATTTATTGTTTATAGAGTGTGAACTAGCTCTCTGATTTGCCGATGCGCATTAACTTGTGCACCATACAATCGTAGACTAATTGTTTACTGATTCATATTGCCCTCTTGCAATAGCAATGATAGCAGTAAAATAATTGCAAATCTTAAGATTGAAACATTGATGTCAAGATATTGACAATGTAGAAAGATCGAACAAAAATGTGCAAATGAATAGGGAACCCATTTTACATTTGATCAGTTTTTAAATGCAAAATATTTTAATCCTTTCGTAATTATAATATGCTTTCAAGGAACATTCAAATATAATTTGAAGATAATGAAACAACGCGGATGGTCTTGACTGCGGAAAATGTTTAGAAATCCAAATATTATGAGTCTAAAATCAACTCTGTACTGATTTCACGTCGTTTTTGGCCTTCGTAGGAGAGAACGTCCGTTCACATAATTTTTTTAAACATTATTTATAGTAGCAAACATTAAAAAAAACACATTAAATCTTATAATTTGTAGAAAGTTAGCTATCTGATTTGCCTATGCGCATTTACTTATACACCGTGCAACCGTAGACTAATTTCCTAGGTATTTTGTCGCCAAGAGAAAGCAAGCTGAGACCTTTGCGGAAACTAAAAAAAAAAAAAGAACCGAGTAGCTATTATAGACGGCAGGGCGATGGAACCTCGCCGCAGATGCTCTATTACTTAGGCGGTTCGGATTTGATGAGGAAGTCGGGAGCGGGGAAATCACTCCCGATGGCCCTCTTCGTAACTGCCTCCAGTTGCGTAACTTGTGGAAACAGGACCTTTCGTCAGTGTCACGTCCCCGAAGGATAGGTTAGAAAGTATTGAAGGGAAAGGTCATTTAGCAAGTGGAAAGTTAGGTAGTAATAGTAGCTAGGTATTATAAGTGTGCAGTAAACATTTTATGTAAGAGTGGACTGTAGCATTGGAGCGCACGTTTAAAGAAGTGTTTATTGCTCATTAAATGCAAGCGGGTCTCAACTACAAAGCAGATGATTCACTCAACTGAAAAGTAATAGTCTAATTTATTTCAGCAGATTATATTTATTAATTTTCAGTATTGTACCTCTGTGCTAGTGTCTTCCACGAGTTAGAAATCCATCATTGATGCGAGAAACTCTTAGAAGATATGATATCAATCGTCTCGAACTAATTGGGTAAACTGGAAAGGGGGTAAACAGAAATATTTATAAAGTGCATAATTTCCCTCATAAGTTCCACCTCAGGACAATCTCAAATCAGTGCTGCGGCTAAGGTATAGTAATGATTTAAGAAAAAAACAAAAAACAGATACATATTTGATCAACGGTTTCAATTTCCTACTAAAGAGTTTTCTACACAGTTTTCCTTGTAAGTTTTATTATAAAATTTTGATTTTTTTTTTGCAGTTAGTTTTTCTGTTTTCTGTCACGTATCTTCAAAACTTCAATAAAAACGATCCCAAAAATCCTTACTGTGTGAACAAAAAGTAGCCAGTACCATCCATTACAAAGTGTAAATTTCTTGAAAATCGTTTGATATGTATTAAGAAAAAGTCCATTTCTTTGTTCAAACTTATTTTTAAATTTTTCATACTGACATTAGTTTTTTCCTCCTTTCTCGCATTTTAGACTATATATTTTTTTACCAGGCCAGAGGAGAAGGCAGGGGATTTACGCAAGAGTTAAAAGCCTTCCGGCACCAGGACCCAAACTCGTAGTTACTTATCATGTTAACATCGGTTTTTTTTAACAGACCAATGAAGGCCTGCTTAAAGTAACTTGTCAAAACATATCTCATGACATGAAGGCACGAAATTTAAGTTAGGATGTAGATCGTACTCGCGCCAGCTCCCTCAACCCCTTTTTTTCACAATAACTTATCCGGAATAATTTGCTCTCTTAATTTTTCCGGTTGAGGATTTTCAATTTCACAGCCGTTAGGATCCAATAGCCGCGGACATTCCCGTTTTCCTCCTTTCCTCGTATAATCGGGTACGGTATCGACTAGCGAGAACTCCTGACCTCGAATAGGACGAGGGCTAATGGAGGAGCAAGTTTGCTCCGAATTATCCGTTTGGATGAACAGCTTCTTCCACGCCAGGATGACTGGCTCCAGCGGCAACTTCAACCGTCATCTGGTCACTTAAGGCATGTCTGATGGATAGAGTTCAGTAGTTCAGCTCAATTTTTAAATTTTGGAATTTTTTTTGTGTAATTATATCAATTAATATTTGCTATCTAGTATCCATGAAATTATTCTTTGTCTGAAATAAAAAGTATGTTTATGCGTTTATATTTATTATTATATATCTAAGATGATTATAAAAAAAAGAAAGAAATTAAAGCTTGACAATAATTAGTGTAGTCATTTTTGCTGAAAACACGAGTACTTTTAGTTGTCAGAATGCTTTAAAAAAAAATCTTAAGTGGAGATAAATCTCGATTTTTTTCTAATAAAATTCGACTTAATTAATATGAACTTAAAGATTATTAAAGGAAGACATTTTTTTTTAATGTGAGGAATCTGTAGTATATTTGGAGAATGATGACAGCTCAAAAATATTCTTCAATTGGTTTTAAGAGCGACAAACGCTACTTTAATTTTAGGTTAATTTTGTCTAGTTTTCTAAAGAACAAAAAATTAATTATTTAATTTAAATATGTATATTTAGTTATAGCTTCTTATTAAACTAAAAACGTGACTTACATAAAAAAACACATAACTTAAATGTCCTATTACATATACCGAAATTCGATTTTTCTGTTGTTTTTTTTAAAGTAAAATTCTTATCTAAAACGAGGAAGAAATAAATAAAAACCTGATTGAAACCAAATAAATCATGCTATAATGAATTTTTTTTATTCTAAAAATATTATGGCAGCCGTAAGAAAGAGCACGTTAAAGTATCTAATATTTCTGAACAAAAGTATAACAATATTGTAAATTTCTATATAAAAACATTTACATATACCTACCCACCACTAAGAGAAATAAGTAGAATTTTTAAATTTAAAAAATTTCCTTACTTACGATTTTTTTTCACCGCCAATTTTGGAATTACTTCCTTATAAAAACTTTTACTTAAACCAATTGAATTGCTGTTTTTTTAATAGAAGTATTGTCTGACCCTTCACTTTGAATCTTCTTGCATTTTTCTTCAAGTGCTTCGTAATCCTAAAATTATATTTATCTCCAAACTACAAAGCCTTGAGCCTCCAACATAGAGACTTTCGTCAGTATGTATTTGGATGGATATATGAAATGTCAACTGCAATATTTGTTTCTGCATATATGTGATAATGTTTGTTCTACCCTGATGATGCGTTAATTGGCGAAACGGTGGCAAGATAACTATCCACCTGTATGTTGGGGACCCATGGCATTGCAGTTTTTTTTCATTTTCTAATTATGCCATGATCACCTTTTGTCTCTTTTCCAGCTTTATGCTTATTTTGTTTATTTATTTATTTTTTTTTTTTTGAGTGGGAGTAACTAAATATTTGTATTGAGGTATAATGCATTTTACCACACTTAAGGGTACTGAGTATTAAAGCTGTAAGGTACATTCATACCATATTTACAATATAATAAAAAAAAAAAATGAAATACAGACAATAATGCATATATAACATAGATAAAAACTGTAATAAAAACAAAGAAATATAGCTTGTAGTGAAATAATACAGAAAATTCTTAAGGAAAAAAAAATTAAATAAATAAATTGCTATGTTCCTGGCCTCGCGTTTCTACGGCGAGTAAGGGGTTCCAGGAATCGCATTTATTTGTATTTATATCGGTCCCAGAAGGGAACCGATCAACTTAAAATATATTAATGATGTATTTAAATGTTAGATACCACAGACCCCCTACTGTAGTATCCTAGATTGAACCATATACTCTTTATTGGATTTCCTTTCTAAAGGTATCATGTTTATAAATGTACTATTTGTTTCTATTACTAATTGGTGGCATGCAAGGTAGAATGTAAAAGTACTACGTTGGTTTACTAACTATTATATTTACAAGCTTAAATAAAACCAAAAATATCTATATACAAAATAATAACTAAACCTATATACATAATGAATAGTTGAGAATCATACTAGAGGAGAATGCTTGATGTTTGATTAAAGTTACGTGTTATATTTATTATATTAATTAATGATGTATGGTTGCCAACACAAATTTACATTAGCTATAACTAAATGCTTGTTACCACTTAGCTGGTCCTTCATAGTGTTTCTAGCTGTCATATCTGGATTCCCTGTCTCTGCTCTCCTTCAGCGTCTAGTCCGTCCATCTGCTCTCTCCGGCTGTCTTCATCTTCCTCCCTCGACTCCCCGCTTGAGTCCCCAGAAGAAGTCCTCTCAGC